AATGAGGCGCCCTTGACAGTGTCGGAGAGCGAAGGTCAGAGCGCCACTTTGGCTTGCAGTGCGCAAGGCGGGTGGGAGTGAGCGCCGCGTCCCGATGCGTCCCGCCCCGCCCCAACGGAACCAACCCCGCGCCCCCCGCGCCGTGCTGCGCTGCCAAAGGTCAGAGGGCGTTCCGGATCCAGCGATACTGGACCATGGCGGCTGTGCGCTACGCGTGGCCACTCATCCCCGCGCGGGATTGGAAAAAGGCTTCCGCTGCAGCCGGAAATACGCCGCTGCTGCTGCTGCTGGCACGCTATTAGGTCAGCAGAGCACGACCGGAGCCGCTTGGCAAACCACGTCCCGCCCCGCCCACGGGCCGACACGGGCCAGGACGGGACCCTGGTCTCGTTATAGACGCGGCAGCAGCACGCAAAGCCACCCCCGGCCCGGTACATCTGTGCGGGGCGCACCGGAAACGTCACGAGCAAATAACAATGCTTCCGGCTCCGAGAGTGGGAGGGGACGAGGGCGTTCCAATTTATTTGCTTTCCCGGCCTCCGGAATAATAACCGTTCTAGACGCCGTTCTTAGCGACGTTTCCAGTCCCTCCTCACGGGCTGTCCTACTTTGCGCACATATTTGGTATGCAAGGCCTCTGCGGAGGAGTGAGCTGCCATTTGTCTGAACTAAGTGTGTCAGCCAGGGAGCGTGGAGAGAGGAAGGGAGAGGGAGAGGGTGTGTGTTAGGAAAGACAACGGGGTGGGACTGAGACAGAGAGAAAAGAAGAAGGGAGGGGGGGGGGTCAGGTGCTTTTAAGGAACGAGCGTCCGTGCTCGCCCCCAGCCCATCCAACTGCGCCTGAGGTGCCATTTGTTACTTTATTCGATGTTGTGCAGTTAGGGCGTGTGTGACAGAGACAGACTACGCTCCTCTGGGAGGAGGAGTACGCACAGAAAGATGTGTTCTTGGTGATATTACATTTTGTTTCGTGGAATCCATTTTTTTCGTTGCATTGCGCTTGTTCTGGGAACAATGTTCTCAACATTAGCGCAACGAACTCAAGAAAATCAAGCTTACGAAAGATGAACTTAGCACAGGGATCTGCTGGAAGGCACAGGAGTGACCTACAACGCATTTTACAGAGGGTCAAAAATGGAGGGGGGGGGGCTGATTTAAACTAATTTTAAGTGCTTATTAACAAAGACTATTTTGGCAACTTATGCATCGCTTAAGTGAAGTGCTTGTGTGCGTTCAAAGAGAAACCAGGCAAAACGAGACGAGCCCAGCAGCGGGATGGGGTGTGGGGAAGGGCTGCGCGGGCTGTGCTCCGTACAGGCCGGGCCCTTCCCGTCCCTTCCCTTCGGAGCTCGCGGACGGATCGATGCCCGTGGCGCTGACGTCACACCCCTAGCCATGACGTCACACGGGGCGCTGGAGCACTGCTGCTGTAGCTGCTGCTGCCACTGGGCCGAGCCCGTCGTCTCGAGAGCTCGGGGAGGAAAGTCAAGGGAGAGGTCGAGGCGGACGAGGAAACGACGCGCCGTGTCGGTGCGCAACTCGAACGACTCAGTGCAGGCTGGAGGGCAATAACACTGATAAGATAAACCAAGCGTTCAACTACTTCACACTTGTAAGTGTGAAAAATCTTTGATCGAACAACTTTCTTAGACTCGACGACACTGTGTGGGGAGTGTTCCACAGAGGGGTTGCACTTACAAAGCGGAAAACTACCGAGTTGCACCTTTGCACGTGCACCACTACGAAGTTGAACACTTGCAAGTATCTAACTTGGAGTTGCACACCTAAGTGTTGTCAGTGAGCTGGCTATCGAGGCATACTCCGTAACACGAAGTTATTACGCAAAAGCGTATTCTTGAATGAAGTAAATGTACTCGTCTAAACCGAGAACTTTGGATTGCCCCGATGCAAATTGCTTTGGTGCATTGCCCTGATACGAATGTCCTCGCGAAATCTATAGGGTCGAGACGCTTTTCTGGGTGCAGCCGGACTAGTTTGGTGTTCTGTATCTTCGTTTCGACCGGAGAGAGTAGCAAAAGGAGCGGGGGCGCCGGGTGTAAGGTGACCGGGCATCCAATTTGCCCGGAACACAAGAGTCGAACTCGCGCGCCGAGAACGGCCTCGTTCGGGGCGTTGTTAAGGGGGAGAGCGAAGGGGAGAGAGGGGCGCGTTCCACTCGTATGCCCATTACAGAGTGAGTGACAAGGCGTCCTGCAGTGCGGGAGCCGCCAGTAACAGCAGCGGGGAGAGTACGTCGTAGAGATTTTAATTTTCCAAGAGGATTTAAAAAACTGTCTTTTTCCTGAAAATTTCCTTGAATATTAAAAAAGGGGGCTTTTAAAAAAACATTTTTTTCCTTTGTTTCCCGCACTTTTTCCTGTTTTTCTGGCCTTCAAATCTCTAGTGCGTCGAGGCGGGGATAGGGCGCTCGCGAGGACAGGGTGCCGTTTGCATCGTTATCGCTGATGCTCGGGGGTGGAGGAGCCGGGACGAGATATTACAGGGTGGAAAACGGTCGAAACCTTGCGGCTAGATAGTATATGTCATATATAGCGCTATACACTTTCCAACTTCTCACGGGATATAATATCCTCTCTATCAACTCAAATGCATACTTTATCTACTTGAAAAAATTACACAGATAAATCCTGTGTCTTATTTCTTTATTAATTTAACACATATAAATTTGGTGACCAAGTTCGCCTCCTCAAACAACCCAATCCAACCATATATTAGTATCATGTTAAACGAAATAAGGTTAACCCTGGGTTAACCAAAATTAACTTAACTGAATTATTGCTGAGCGAAGCGAAGCTCTCCGGAACAGTGGACCGAGCTCTCCGGTGGACCTGGCGTGTCGTTGGTCGTGAGTCTGTCTGTCTGTCTGTCTGTCTGTCTGTCCGTGAGGAGCAACCACTACTCTTTTGCTGTAGCGAGTATCGCTAAAAGTGAATATGTTTTGGGATGTACAAATTCTG